TCTCTATCTCTATCTATCTGTCTACATCTAGCTATCTCTATCTTCCAGCATTGGATCCTATAAAGCAGTAAATAAGCAATGAGGGTCATTATCAATCCTATCTTCTAGACAAGGAAACTGAGAGATCAAAAAGTCAAGTGACTTAGATGGTTACATGGGGAGTACTCTCCATATAAGTGAAGGAACCTCCATCACGTGGCCTCTGGGATAGACACCCCTGCCCCAGCTTTGGATTACACATACTAGCACTGGATCACCTCCCCGTTCGTGGCCCGAGTTTCGGAATTAGAGCTGGTACTGCTGTTAGTACTGGGATGAGTTGGGAGAATTTGTTTCTCATATTTTTCTTTATCTCTTCCTTCCTCTGCCTTGCCCTGGTGAATTTATTCAGACATCCCTGGTTTGGGTGACTATTTGGCAAAGTTCCTTTGTGGGAAGAGCAGAGGAAATGGGGAACCACCCAGTGACCCAGGCCTTGTCCTCCTGAAGGAGAGCTTGGAGGGAGGGACTGAGCAGTTGGTTGGTGTGAAGCAGATGGGCAACTTATGAGTTCCAGGTTCCAGAAAGGAAGCTCATCTAATTCAACCTCCTCATTTTACAGATGAGGGAACTGAGGTGGACAGAGGGTAAGTGACTAGCCTAGGGTCACACAGCTAGTGTCTGAGCAGTATTCAAATTTGGGCTTTCCTAACTCTGACTCTTGCGCTCTCAAAATTAGGACTGGAATCCAAGTCCTTCTGATTCTAAACCCAGTGCTTTTTGCATCGTGTGAGATGCTCTAGGTCATTTTAAAGCTCCTCATCTTCCCTGGCCCTATTGCTCCACAAACTGCCCTCAGCCCTCCCCTGGCCAGGCCAAGACAAAGAGCATTCTCTGAGTATTCCCTGAGTCAGGACGCTCTCTGCAGAAACAACTGCTCTGTGTCTTGCGTCAACCCTGGGAGCTCCTACTCTCCAGAGTACAATGACCACTGGAGTCTTTGTGGGCAGCAAAGCATATTAGCACCAGCAACAACTTTGACTATCAGAGAGCTACAAGCCAGGCAGGGTAGAGTGGGCAAAGGAAAAGCTGGTCACTTCCCCAACATTATAAAAGAATAGCAACACAGAGCTGGTCTTTCTGGGAGAATGGTCGAGATGATTGAAGTCAGCCTTTAGCTTCCCTACCCAATCGACTCCAGTGGCTTCCTATTGTCTTAGGATAAAATAGAATCTGTTCAGCTTTTAAAGCACTTTACAACCTTTCACCAGTCTATCTTTCCAAGCTCCTTGGACATTTGTCCCCTTCCTGTTGTCTGCTATCCAGCCAAAGTTGCTTTCTTTCTTCGTTCTTACATGTGACACTCCATGTCCTATCTCTTTACCTTTCCACTGGCCATCCCCTACTCCTGGAATGCATTTCCTCATTACCTCCTTCTTATAGTCTCTCTCTTCCTTTAAAATGCAACTTAAACTTCATCTTCTGCATGAAGCTTCTCCTGACCTCCCCAATTGCTAGTACCCTGTCTCCCAAACCACCTTGTACTTACTTAATTACTTGGTACTTTTTTGTATATAATGTAGTCCCTTTATATTTATGCTGTATGTATTTTTATATGTACTTGCTATCTCCACCATTAGAATGTAAGCTCCTTGCGATCTTACAAGGATTGTTTGATTCTTGTATTTAGATCTCTAGCACCCAGCATTTATATCCTAAGCTTAGCACAGAATAGGTGCTTAATGTGTGTTGATGGACTGACCACTCATATGTATTGTCACATCTCCTTCAGCCTCAACACGATTGTGGTTACTCACATATTAGGGATTTTATTGTTGAATAAATGGCTTACCTAGCCAGGGCTGAAGCCAAGCCTGGGAAGATGTAGGACGTACCCAGCTAAAAATATTTCTAATTTCTACTATTTCTAAAAATATTTAGGTAATTTTAAACTGACAATGTAAAATGGGGCCTTGGGATAGAAAAGCATGAGGTCTGGGAGAATTCTTATGCATGTTGACATTAGGATCATGTGATCATTGTTCTAGAGACAGCCATCTAAATCAACCTTATCATTTTACAGATGAGGAAACTGAGGCTTTGGGAGGTTAAAGTTTGCCCAAGGTGGAACAAGTAAGCAAGCATCAGAGACAGGGATTTGAGCCCAAGTCTTCTGATCCCAGAGCCAAGACTCCTTCCATTGCTGGAAGAGGGCTTTTCAGATCAGCTAGTTGAACCTTCTTATTTTACAAGAGAAGAAACTAAAGTCCGTAGAAATTAAATGCCTTTGTCTAAGGTCACACAGAAAGGTTATGAGTGGCAGATCAGGGACTAGAATTCAAATCCTCTGAGTCCCAGACCAGGGCACTTACCATTACAATATGATGTCAATTGAAAATCAAACTAGATACAAACGGCTATACAGAATTAGCCTCTTTTCATTTCTGAGTCCATAATTCAGAGGATATCTAAGGTCCCTCCTAGCTCGAAATTCAGCTTGTCTTGATATGGTTCTTCTGGATATAAATGAAAGGCTGAGCTATCTGTCCACTTTCCTTTATTCATCTGAACCTTAGACCAAGAGCTGTGACCTGAGTTATAGACTCATTCGCCCAAGTAAAGGGACTCTCTGCTGCTTTGTTCCTTTCCACGGAAAACAACAGTGAGTTAGGATAAACAATTCTTGGAACAAAACATTAGCATCTCCTGTAGAAGGGAGAAAATGATACCCATCTCTATGTTGAGGTTCAATATTTATTGAGGTCCTGGTGTTCAGGACACCATCTGCATGAAAGCATAGCTAGTCATCTATCACTGTGGTTAGTTGCAGCGAAGAGGGTGCTGCCTCTTCTGGGAAGGACCCTGTTAAGTATTTTTTTAAGTCAAGTTTATGACTAAAAGATAAAGTAAAGTTGCTTTTCTAAGGCTTAGAGGCCTTGATCCCACCCTGGTGGCCCATCCCTTCCCCACCTTCTTTTGCACGCCCCCAGCTACTGACCATATTAGCTCAGAACAAAGACTCTAACATCCACTGAATGGGCTTGGAGGGTCATCAAAGCCTCCAATAGCACTGCCATTTCTTCCAACCCCTACTGACCTCTAGTGGCCTCAAGGTGGAACTGACTTCTCTTAGGATCTCCCCTGGGACCCTACAGCAAGAATCCTCTTCCTAAAATGGTTTGTGACTGACTACGTGAGTGTATCGGAACTTGTGTGTAGACAAATATGTGTCTGAGTGGCCTGCTTGTTCATGAGTGTGTGTTAGAAGTGTGTGTTTGTGAGTATGGATTGAATGTGGTTGAGTGTGTGCAATGTGTGCATAAGGGTGTGCATTTGAAATGTGGATATTGAGAATATTCATTGTGTGTGCTGTGTGTAAATTATATTCTCAGAGTAGATTGAGGGACAGTCCTGTTCATTCTCCTTTCAGAGTGTCAGAGAAGGGAGTTCAATCAATCAACAAATGTTTATTAAGCTCTTACTATTTGTCTGGTATCCTGTCTACTGGGCTGCACTGTCAGGGGCATCTTTCTGATGTCTCACCTAGTCTTCTCTGAAATATAGAAGAACAATCACCATTCCCATGAGAAAATCCTGGGTTATCCATCAGCCCTGGTAGAGAGAAGAGAAGGGAATAAAAATTCATGTAGCCTATAGAGCTATGCTAAGTACTATTTGTAAATATTATCTCACTTGATTCTTATAAGAATATTATTTCATTCTCTACCCTGAGAGGTAATTGCTATTATTATCCCTCTTTTATAGTTGAGGAAACTTAGGCAGACAGAGGGTAAAGTGACTTGCCTAGAGTCACACAGTTAGTAAGTTTCTGAGGTCAAATTTGAACTCAGATCTTTCTGATTCCAGGTCCAGCACACTATCCAAAGTACCACCCAACTGCATTAGTAATGGCTATAGGAATTGTAGTCACAATTTACAGAGGAGGTGTTGCGATTATAAGGGTAGCACTTTCTATGGCCAGGTAGGTTTTCCATTCTTCAGCATAGGTTAGGGCCAGTTCTCCATTAAAGAGTTGGAAAGGAAAGGAGTCAAGAGTACAGTTAAATTAATTTCCAGCAGCTACATATGATTAAAACAATCCAGTTCTCCTAATCTTCTGTCTATGTGTAATGTTCCTGAAAATGATCTCACTGGCGTGTGTTTCGGTTCAGTTTTTTCTTCCTTAGAACTGTCTCTTTCTATAACTTCACTGCTAATTGGTGTGCCTACCCCCAGACAACCTTTCCATCAGCCTGGGCAGTGAGCACAGACCTGTGACAGCCATCTCACGTTGGCCCTGTCTGACAGTCCCCTTCCTACACAGGAGGTGGATCCAGGCACCGGCTAGGAACTAAATAGAGCTAACGGTCAGTAAGCACACAAGGTTCCCACTAGGCAAGGTAGAACCACGTTGGAACCTCCAGCCAAACTTACTCTGTTCTGGTCTGGAGCAGTGAGTAAGGACAGCAGGAAATGTACTCTCAAACCTTACACAGGTGATTTTTAGGGGCCTTAAAGGAACATCTAGTCCAACCCTCTTACTTTACAGGTAAGGAAACTGAGGCCCAGATAGGTGACATTACTTGCCCAAGATCACATTAGTGTAATGGGGGTCTATATACACAGACCCTGCTCGGCTTGCTTGGCTGATGAAACTGCTCCATGTGGAGAGATGCCATCCAGGGTACTCTGCATATTTGCCAAACTCCTGTTACACTAGTACATAGCAGATCTGGGGTTTAAACCTAGAACTTCTAAATCTATGACTCAGACCATATTCCCCCCCGCTTCTCCACCATATACTTATGTGGATTCATTGGCACACAATCAGAATTCTACCCCCATATCTCCTGTGTAGAAGTCCCCCTCATCACTATCTTTAAGAGACATTACTTTGAAACTCTAAGCCCTATTCCTGTCTTCCACAAAGGGTACCCCTACACTTTCCACCAGAGTGGGCCACCAGAGATCTCTGCTAGAAGAGGCAGAGGAAAAAGGAAACAGGGTCAGCAATGGCAAATCAGAGTTAGAGGGTGACTGAGGGTCCATGAGAAAGGAAGCCTAACACCTCTTGGTGCCCTGAGACTAAAGCTATTTTCCAGCTTCCTGCCCTGTATCTTTGGCAACAGCCTCTTTGGAACAGGATGGCAGATTTAGCAGGCCCACATCTGATGTTTTTCCTTTTACCCAAAGTGCCAGGGCTAATGATTTGAAAATAACAGAGTCCAACCTGCATTGTTTTGCACTGAATTCAGATAGCATTTCTTTAATGTTTAAAGACAGTCCGAATTGGTTTCCTCCTAGTACCCCTTTCAGAGTGTTGAAGATGGGGCCATCCATCAAAAATGTGTCTTCATCCTTACCTCCCACCAGGGGTTTGGAGATGGTAGTAGTGGTGGGAAGTGGTGGAGAGATGGTTTTAGACACTGCAAGATACCACAGACTGTGCTCTGTGCCCACAATCTCCACTGAATGAGAGGGAAGGAAATTCTTAGGGTCTCCTCAGTCTCACCCAACACCCCTCCCTTATTCTAACCATAATAATCAGTATCCAAAAGCTCAAGATAAATGATTCCTCATGGGTTTTAAGGGCTAGGGGAGCTGGGGAAGGACCACTTTTGGAGATAACCAGTGAGATAAAATGAAATGTAAGGTAACAAGCAAATTTCAGGGGCCTTCAGGAGTCTGGAGTCCCTACTGACAAAGCAGCCCCTGAGTCTCTGAGGAGGGTTTATTATGGCCAAGAAAGTGCAATGTACTAGATGTAAGGAAAACTGGACTATAGTCCCAGCTATATCACCAATGCATTGTGTAACCTTATACAAGTCATATTACTTCTTTGGTCCTCAGTTTCCTCATTTATAAAATAAAGGAATTAGACAAAATGATCCCTAAGGCCCCTTATAGATCTAACAGGTTAAGTCTAAGAACGATTCTGTATTCCCCTCCACACAGCTGGTACTTATTAGTCAACAAACATTTATTAGGCCCTTACTATATGCCAAGCACTGTGCAAGGCATTAGGAATATAAAGGCAAAAGCAAAAATAGCCTCCCCCCCCCACAAGGAGCTTATAATCAACTAGAGACCTCCACCAAAGATCACTCTATTTTGCATTCTAACAAAAAATAAAAGGGGTCCCATTCAAAAATTTTCTTGTGACCCCCAAATTTAGGTAGACCTTATTTGATTTTATAGCCAAACTGAAAAAGACAGTGGATGGGCTAAACTAGCCCCCACCCACCCAAATGCATAGCAGTTGTTCAGTCATCTCCCTTACCGATCCCTCCTTATTTCTAAATTCTCCCCTATCCCTTGCCCATGATAGGGGACAGGGGATAGGGGAGAGTTTAGGTGGGAGATAGCAGGGCAGACACTAAAAAACCCCAACACTATTTGTTTCTACATTTCCATGAACATAGGAAGAATTTTGTAATTCTTGGTGAAAACACATGAGAAAGTAAAGACAGGAAGAGAAAACAGGGAAAGAGAAGATGGAGGCCAAGATACCATGGGGATTGGCCAAGAGGATATTCAGGGCGGAAAGATGGAAGTCAAGCCCTCAGCAAAGAAATACGTGAAGCCAAGGACGATCATGTGCATTGCTTCCCGCTGTCTACAATGCAGGCCTCAGGCCCTCCCAGGTGGGTATCATTGACTTCATGCCAAGGAAGGGGGAAAGAGAAGGCAAAAAAAGCCCCAAAACAGAGAGGAGAAGATGAGTAAGAGGCCCAGCTGATGCAAATATTGACATAACCATTACCAGGGCGAATAAAACTCCCATTTGTGTTATGCAAGTGCTATATTCTTTGAATACTTCTGTCTTGAGGAATTCTTTATTTCGCCATAGAAGAAAAATGTTTTCATATTCTCTCCTGCCGCTCAGACCCAGAACCCAGTGAGGCCCTGTGCCCTTGAGAGCCATAATATTATTTGTTAACATTTTTATGATGCCAAATGGTCTGTGTGAGAATGGGCGCCATTCTTTAGCTGGGAAACCATATGGCACGGCGAGTAATAAATAAGGTATTGTGATAGTTAATGAACCTAATTGCCAGCAAAGGCTTTAATACAAAGACTGTGCTGCTGAGAATTTAGCACTACATTAGAGATGCAGCAGAGCTCCCCTGACTTCTGAGGCTTAATTTAAGTTCTATATTGCAAACTCCAGAAAATAATTCCAAACCCTCCTGCTGGAAAAGCAACCTGCTGGTAGACTGTGATTATACCGAATTACTAAAATCGCAATCCATTTTATACACACAGTTAACCCTTAGTAGGAAGGGCTCCTGGAGAGGTGAGGGGATCAGATCTGGTTGAAACTCAAACTCAACCTGTGGCACTGGGTAGGACAAAGTATTTGGGCCTAGAAAGAGGTACATCAAACAGACCTTCATCTAGGTTGGTGCAAAGGAGAGATGGGGCTGTAGACCACAGGATTACAGATTCAGAGGTGGAAATAAATTTAGAGGTGAGCTAGTCCAGCTTACAGATGAGGAAACAGGTTAAGTGACTGAGAAGTTAAATGATTGAGGAAACTGGGCATCACAACGGATAGAGATTTGGGCCTAGAGTCAGGAAGTCAGGAAGACCTAAGTTCAAATCTGGCCTCAGATGCTTATTAGCTATGTGACCCTGTCACTTAACCACTGCTTGCCTCAGTTTCCTCACCTGTGATAGGATAATAATAGCACCACCTTTATTGTGAGGGTTATTGTAAGGATCAAATGAGATAACATTTGTAAAGCACTTAGAATAATGCCTGGCACATAGTAGGTGCTTATATATTATATTACATTATATTATATTATTTATTTATTTTAAATATATTTATTTATTATATTATATATTATTTATTATAGCTGCTTATTTCCTTCCTTCCTTGTTCAAGGTCACATAGGTAATGAATGACAGAGCTGGGATTTGAACCAAAGGTCCCCTACTAAATCTAGTACTCTCTCCATTATGATGTAAAGAGCAGGGTCCTGCCTAGAGCCTGGTGGGGCTCTCTCTTGGTTCAGACAGGACTCCAAACTAAAGCAACAGCCTGAAGACAGAATGCTGGGCCTTGGTTCAGACCTCACCTCAAATAGCAACCCACTACCCCAAGAAGGAGTAAAAGCTGAACAGTTGTCACTTTTATTCCATAAGTCAAGGTTATTAACTAGAGAAGATCAAATCGTGGCAGCCAAATAACCTTGCACAGTGTAAAATGTAAATGCCAAACAGCTGGTGTCAAACTTTCAGTGGTGTTGGATTGAAAAGGGTCCCTGTGTGGGAATGATGCTTTGTGGAGAGGAGGAGAAAGTGGGAAGGGCATTGGGATTGTTAGCAATTTTAAAACTCCTAGAGGACAGGATCCTTTACCTCCTTGCTTTCTAGAAGGCCTTGGGGCCCAGGAGAATTGATCAATCAATCAATATTTATTAAGCACCTCCTATGTGCCAGGCACTGTGCTAAGTATTGTGATTAAAAAAAAAAAAGAGGCAAAAGACAGTCCCTGCTGTCAAACAGCTTACAATCTAATGGGGGAGACAACATGCTAACAAATAAATACAAAGTAAGGTTATATACAGGTTAAATAGGAAATAATTAACAAGGCACTAGAATTAAGAGGGATTGTGGAAGGTTTCCAGTAAAAGATGAGACTTTTAAAAGGAAGACATGGAGGTCAGTAGACAAGAGTTAGGGAAGGAGAGCATTCCAGGCATGGGGAGAAGTCCTTACATATGGCGCTCCAGTTCTTTAGGGTATACTATTTGTGTATGTGTGTGTGTGTGTGTGTGTGTGTGTGTGTGTGTGTGTAAATGGGGAGAGTGGGCTGGACTAGATAATTTTTAAAATCCTTCCAGCTCTGACATTCTGTGTCTGTCCTGGGAGGTGGATTCCCATATGCTGAAGGCTGTGCTCCATTCCAAAGACACCCACTCTTTTTCCCACAATGATGATCCCAAGAAAGAATAGACTCACAATCCCTGCTTTCCCCCATGAACTAGGCAGCTCTCAGAGCTCCTCTTTTCCAGGGATCAGTCAGCAGAGGGTTATTCATCTTTGCTGTGAACTTCTCCAAAACCCTTAAGTTTTCTGAATATCAGTTTCCTGTAAATTTCTGTAAAATAGAAATAACAGTACTTGCACTACCTAGCTCACAGTGCTGTTGGTTTAGAAACTGTAAAGTGACATATATATGTAAACACAGACATTTGAGCTACCATTATTACTTGAGCACCTATAATGTGCTCAACCCTGAGCTAGGCACTGTGAAGATTACAGGACAAGTATAAGATTGTAGTCTGTGTCCTGGAGAAACTTACCCTATCTGACACCCATGAAACACTAAGAAATTTAGCTAGGCAAATTGATTGTACTCAATTGAATTCAACAAGAGTTTATTAAACAACTATGAGCTATGGGCCAGATGTGGTTCCAGAAGCTGGGGATACAAGGTCAAAAAGAAATAATCCTTGCCCCCAAGGAGATGACATGAACAAAATTATAAAGGAAATTCTCAATCTATTGTTTTAAGGGCTTTCCTCAGCTCCTGGGACTTCTTCACCCTGGATCAACTGTCTACCATGTCATTTGTCCCCTTTCTCCCACTGTTGAGTTCTTTGGGGGGGGCCTCCATTTTGGGGATGGATCCAGGCTGGTGAGAAGTCACTCCCTTTCTGGCTGAAGTTCTGTCTCTGTGGAATTCACCACCGTGGATGGGGTGGCATTCTCTCCACCCACCCCTGCCTGTTCTGCAGCTCATTTCCTCTTTAGAAGGTAAGCTCTTTGAGGATGGGGAATGCCTTTCTTTTTGCTTTTGTCTGCTCAGCGTCCAGCGCAGGGCCTGGAGCGTATGGCAAGTGCTTAATATGTGTTGTTCAGTCATTTCAGTTGTGTCTGACCCCATTTGGGGGTTTTGTTGGCAAAGACACTGGAGTCGTTTGTCAGTTCCTTCTCCACCTCACTTTAAGAGGCAAACAGGGTTAAGTGACTTGCCCACGGTCACACAACTAGTAAATGTCTGAGGCCAGATTTGACCTCGGGAAGAAAGATGAGTCCTTCTGATTCCAGAACACAATGCTTTCAACTACTTCAACACCTAGCTTCTTGATTAATAGATACATGTTGCCTATTGACTGCCTGCATTTAGAAGCATGTGTTTTCCAACAAGCAATATGATTATTCTCCATCTTTCACATCTATGCACTCAAGGGAGACATGAAGGACATGGACATGCCAGTGTTTTCTATGTTAGCTTAGTTAGAATTTGAATATTTAAAGATCATAAGATCTTGAACTGGAAGGAATATTAGAACATATCTTAGAAGCCCAACCACCCCATTTTACAAATGAGGAAACTGAAGTTTTTGGAGAGGTGAAATACAAGGAAGCAGACCCAGGAGTTGGACACAGATCCCCTGACTTAAATCCAGGCTTCTTGCTATGAAACTGCACTTGAGAGTAATAGCATTACATTTATTTTAACATGTCTTACTCTAGAATTAATATTTTCACTCATTCATACTGGTCTTCTCTGCAGCTGATTTCGATGCATGATGTTTAGCTGTGCTTAGATGAGTGTCCAAATTAGACTTTGGAAAGATTTCAGTTTAGAACAGGAAGCTTCTGACTAACGCCATCTTCCTCTGATCCCTCTTTTGTGAATCCTATCTGCTCAGATGTCCTAAGCACTGTAGAAAAATTGCAATATTCTTCCTCCTTTACGACTTCCTCCTCCACAGCCTAGCCAAGTACCTTATCACACACTCCAAGGAACAGTCCTAGAGGAACTTCCACCCTGGGGTTCTGCTTTCCCGGCAATGACTCCATCTCCTGCACCACTATTGTAGGACAACCCCAGTTACCATACTTCAAATCACTTCACTCCCTACTCTTTTTCAACCTGCTCTGCAATCTCTCCAACCAGCCACCTTACTGCTGCTATTATAATGTTTCCTCAGGCTCTCCAGTTCTGGTACTAACATCCATAGTCAAATCAACAGCCATGGTTACTGGATGGGCTGTGTCAACCTATTTCCCTATGGTTCTACTCATCATTACTGTTAACTTTATGACCAAAGTACCACTCAGGAGGTATCATTCCCGCTATGCGTGTTGTCTCTGCCATTAGACTCTAAACTCCAAGAGTGCTATCTTTACCTTAATATTTGTATCCACAGTGTTTATGATATGCTTGGAATATTTTTAAATAATTTTTTCATTCATTCATTCATTTATAGTAATTTGTGCTCTAATAATTATAATAATTATAAATATTGTATCATACATATTATTATTTATTGTATGAAAATATGTAATATATTATAAAATCATATTAATATATTATAGTGTAATAATTACTATGTAACTATAGCTAATAATTAGCTATAGTAATAGTAGTTGGGGCATAATACGCTAATAGTATAGTATATAGACTGTAAGTATAATATACTAATAACATAGAATAGTAATTAAGCAGCTAAGTGGTACAGTGGGTAGAGTCCTGGGGCTGCAGTAAGGAAGAGCTGAGTTAAATCCAACCTCAGATACTAACTGTATAACCCTGGCCAGATCACTTAATCTGTCAGCCTCAGTTGCCTCATCTGTAAAATGAGAATAATAATACCCAACTCCCAGAGTTGTTGTGAGAGTCAAGCATGGTAATATTTGTAAAGTGTTTTGCAAACTTTAAAGAGTGTTTATAAATGCTAGCTACTGTGCTTAGATAAAAGTTATTTTACAAGAGTTCTTCAATCTCTTTTCCAGCTAAGCATTTTGATTGCAGAGACAGTCTTCCACTTCGTTTTTTAAAAAATCTCTTCTCCAATTCCCCCACCCCCAGACCACCTGTACCTTCTTAGAACAAAGCTCTTTACCTAAAGAAAGCTGCTTACTAAATGTTGTTGACTGTATGAAATTTCCGTGTCTGTTCCCAACTTGATCTTCAGCATTTAAGAGAGGGGGAAGGGGCAGAACCAGAAGGCCCTATCAATTTTATAGACTGGGAAGCTGATTTCTAGAGAAAGGGAAGTCTATGAGAATTAGAAAGGCACCCTAGTTCTCCTGGCACCCTGAACAGAATCATCTCAATCTGTGCTCATCCATGCTCTCTCCCTACAAGACATGGCAAGGGGATGGGGAAGATGGGTTCTGGTAGGTGTCACTGATCAGGGACTGCCTTCCAGCATCCCTGGATGCTGGTCCCCTCATCCAGGTCCCCTCAAACCACTTTAATTCCTCCCTCCTTAACTCTTAACAGTCAGGATCTGAAAGGTCATGCTTTAGAGGAAAAAAGACACTTTGAAGGAGACATTTCAGCTCCCTCCCTGTAATAACCCCAGAGGTGGAAAAGTGGAGATTTTTGAAAGACTCTAGGAAGAACCCCTTGACATTTACAGTGAAGATAGCCAAAATTAGACAAGGTGATTGTGCCAAAACAGTATTCTCATCAGCTCCATTTTTATCTTCTTAAATCCATTTCCAAGACATGGAATACTACAATAGACAAAGAATTGGAGATGAAGATAACAGAAAGGAAAATGGAGAGGCATGTTGGAAGTGAGCGGGCTGCAGCACATTAAAAGCTAGGAATTACCCCGGAGAAGTGGTGCGATGGGATGTCATTAGATAAATGTATGCATGAATTTAAAAAGGGGGAAGAGGATGGTTCCATAGCAAGAACAAAGGAAAACGGATGGGCATCCTCTATGTTCAAATATTGTCCTCGCAATGGTAAGGGATCCTGTCATTGACCCTGGCACATTGGGTACACTCTCTGTGGAAGGTTTATGGCAGGACATGGACAGCACAGGACCTGGAATGAATGCTTGTAGATACGACCCACATGAGTGAGATCCCAGATCCATTGGAGCTGTGGGGCCCCTTCCCTATCCTCAACCCCTCCTTCAGGCAGCCAGTGCTCTTCAGCTGATTTCCTCCTCCTCCTCCTCACAAAGTAAAAACTTGATCTCTGGAAAGGGTCTGATAGCAGTCTTTTACGCCCTACAATGAAATTTGAATCAACTATTTCCCTTAAGGAAATTGTATTTTAAGCTTTTTATCCTGATATGTAATAAAAGGCTTTGTACCCCCTTCTCTCTCAACTCCACAACCCCCCCCCAATTTTTTAGCTTTATAGAGCCAATGGGCTAAGGGGTTTTCTGAGAAACAGACAGCCTCTCCAGCACCCCAAAATTGCTTCCTATAGCAAGAACATGCTGATAAATGTTTAACAACTGAATCCATGGGAAAATAAATGCAGTACACATTTTTAAGTTTAATCTGCATTATTAAAATTTTCTCCATTATTTTCTTAAGACTAGACAATCAACAAAACAACAAATCAAGCCCTGATTTGTGACATTTATTGGTTTCTGAAGTATAAATGCTCAAGCTGAAAATTTAACAATTGACTCTTAGGAGCCTATATGAGTGGCTTCCAAGTACATCCCTGCCTATAAGCCACCATCTTGTGTGCCTATATATAAGGTTTGCCCTTTTTTGGGGGCATCAGAACTTTGCTTCCATGGGAAATTCAGAACTGAGGGACACTTTTCAATGGACTGGGATAGATTCAGTCAGGACGGATGCATTACCAATGGATGTGCCCTATACACATAAGCATGGCAGTAGGAGCTGAGAACCAGTATAGGGCTTTGAGAGTATAAGCATGTCTGTTGAGTGGTAGAACATGGGATTTAAGTTCCTCAAAAGCTAGGAACCCATCTTATCTTGATATTGAAATTGCTAGGAGCCAGGACTCTGAAGCCCCTCAGCAAATGCCTGTTGGCAGCTTGTAGAACAATAACTTCCAGAGGAGTCTGATTGTGAGGAGGGGAAGAAGAGTCAGCACCAGAAGCTAGTAGGGCAACTCTGATACAAGCCCTGTCACTTTGGGTAAATTCTCTTAACCTCTCTGAGGCTGCTTCCTAATCCATAAAATGGGGATACTAATACTTGCTAGAGGCATCTGGTGACACAGTCTATAAAACAATAGGCCTGGAGTTAGGAAGACTGGCATTCAAATCTGACCTCAGACACTTACTTACTGTATGACCCTGGGCAAGTCACTTAACCCCATTGCCTAGCCAAAAAAAAAGAGTTCCCAGGCATGATTTAAGTCTCACTTCTGCCTCAGAGAGTGTGATAATACCAAATGGAGACTGTTTGTCCCCCTGAGTCACAAATCCCAGGAGAACAGTCAGTTTTCAAATCCTTGTTATAAATACAAATAGAAAATCAGGGACAGATTTAAAAGACAATAAAAATCCCTGCCTAGATCCCAGATTTCTTGGTTCTAAAATAAGTATTCTGCCCAAGTTAGGTAGGAAAAAAGAGAAATAAAGTCCAAAGAGCAAGTATTTAGCAGACCAAAGTTCAAGTATTGTTGTTTTCTAGTTCTGTGACTTTGGGAAGTCACTTCCCTCAATTTCCTAATCTGTAAAATGAAGGTGTTGGACGAGATGGTATCTTAGGCATCTTCCACTTCTAACATTCTGTGATTTTATTCACTGGGGTTAAATCAGGAAGGCTGAGAGAGTAGGGTAGTGGCAAATTGTAAATGTAAACTTAGAGGGACAGAGAGAAGCAGAGAGTTAATGAGTCTTACTGAGCACCTACTGGGTGGAGCATATTCTTTGTCCCTGGGTGGAGGCTTGGTAGGACAGGGAGAAAAGAAAATACAAAAGAAATATGGCAGGCCTTATTCTTTTACATCAACCAGATGGCTAGATGAGATGACCTCTAAGAGATCTCCATTTCCAAGATTCTTGAGAAAA